CCATTTTCCCTTTTCCCACTTTCCCGTTTTCCCACTTCCCGTTTCCCCACTTTCCCGTTTTCCCACTTTCCCGTTTTCCCAATTTCCCGTTTTCCCACTTTCCCGTTTTCCCAATTTCCCGTTTTCCCACTTTCCCGTTTCCACACTCTCCCATTTCCCCACTCTCCCGTTTCCCTGCTTTCCCGGTTCCCCACTTTCCCGATTCCCCACTCTCCCCTTTCCCCGCTTTCCCGGTTCCCCACTTCCCCGTTTCCCCGCCTCCCCGTGCCCCCGCTTTTATTAGATATGTCCTCCGGAAAATCGAATTCCCGTCTTTCCCTTGATGAAATCTTTGATTCTCGGTGAGAGGACCACTCAAATCATTTTTTTATGGGGGGAGGACCCATAACATGAGAACGACGACCCTCAGATGACCTTCCTGAAGCTCCCGAGAACCCGACCCTGAATTTTTGCGGCGATCGGTTCAGGCGTTAGTGAAATTTGCGAATTTGTGATTTTTCAATTTTTTTCCGAGTTTTCGTATTTTCGTGAGTGGAGCACTCAAATAATTTTTTTAAGGTAGAAGGACTCATCGCATCGGAGAACTGACCCCCCTATAACCACCGCTGGATCCCCCAGGACACACTCCTAAATTTTCACGAAGATCGGTTCAGCCGTTTTCGAGTCTATAGGGTACCCCGGACATACAGACAGACAGACAAACAGACAGACAGACATACGTTTTTATATATATAGATGCAATTTGTATACAATCTCTCCGGAATGAACGGGCGACCAAGCGAGCGAGAGAACGAGCAGCCAGATCGCCGACCAGCCAAGTCCGCTTTTCAGTTATTCACCTTTGACGAGTAATGTCACCAGTGGGAATTCCGCTCGAGTCTGTCTCTACATATGAACCAATTCACTCGCTCATTCCGCCAGCCCCCGAGCCGGCACGAACGGACTACCCACGCAATGGAGTCCGTCCATTCGCACAGGGGGGCTCGAGAGTGCGTAAATCTCCCCGTTCCGAACTCGGCCACGGAAGTGCTTGACATGAGTCGGATGATTCACTGCTTTGTCCTCGTATGAGACGGGCGTATACCACGGACGTCCGTCCCAGGAAGCAGCAATTAACGCGTCTGCTACCTGCCATCAGATTCCCGCAAGCGATGGGTGAACGTGCTAATTGTGACTGGCTTCGATAACGTTCATAATCCTCGCGAGCTTATAGTTTCTGACTCACTTGGAAAATACGTACGTTCAACTTCACACGCATCGTCGATACGCTCCGAGCTCCGGAGCTTCGCCCCCCCCCCCCTTCCCAGCGCACTGAAGTCTGCTGGGCTCGTAAATTCTAAATTTTCAAATCTTCAAATTTTCAAAGTGAGGAAGTAATTATACATCCGGATTATTACAGTGTGCTCGTTGATCGATGAGGGTTGTGTCGCAATAATCGGACCAACTCAACACGAGGCCCATAAAACCGCTCAGGAGATCAGTGCGCGCCTCCAAGTACCGTTCTTCGTTCGCTGTTTGCAAGACGGTCAGGAGAGCGGTTCATCAACAACTTTCCACCTCCTCCCTCCACAGCCAAGCATAACGAGAGCTTTCAGCGACATCATTCGCGCCAAACGATGGAAGAACTACGCGCTCATATACGAGAAAAATCAAGGTAAGTTCCTCTCGAGTCTCCGTCGCTCGCGCGACAAGGCCTGGAATATTCATATGAGGCACCGTAAAGCGCAATATAGGCACAATAGGCACTACAGTGAAAGCTCTTTACTACGAACAAGAAGGGACCGACGAAACTGGTTCGTTGTACCGAGTTTTCGCTGTAAGGAATGCCGCTCAACACCATCCCTATGGCGAGCTGGCCAAAGGAGGAGAAATTCCTTGTTCGTTGTACCGAGAAATTCGTTGTAATGGGGTCGTTATAACGAGCTCTTACTGTATCATAATAAGACTCCTGGAAAGTAGAGGGGCTGCTTCCGCGCAGAAGTCAGATCCGTCGGGCGTCGGGTCATTATTTTGAAGGAAAGAAATGGGTCACATTGAACTGAGGACCAGTCTTCCCGATGGGCTTCCCACCCAAATCCCGGCATTTTTGCGGAGCGTTTTGGCCCTTGTTGAGTATTTCCATATCCTTTGGATGATGATGCTCTACTGGCCTCTGAAGAGCTGAAGAGGACGATTCGGGTGCATTTTATAATCTCCGAGAAAGCGGACCTAAGCATTAAAGGAACTCCGCGTTGAATAGTGTGCTCGGAGCGTGCGCACCAGCGGAAGCTGGGAAATGATTAGGCAAAATTGACCTCTCACAGGAGAATGTGTTGCGTGAGAGGAGGCATATTGAGCAAAAAACGGGCGCCGCATTTGATGCGAATCGGGTGTGCGCGGCTGTTCGCTGAATCGAGCGGCTCACGTCGCTATACACGCAAAGAAATTTTATCTTATGATGATGCCGAGGGTAGTGGTTAGAGGAGCAAGAGGCGGCTAAAAGAGCAGGGTAGTGTCGCGGGCTCGATATTCAAGGATGCGACGTTTTTGCATAATGTTGTTTGCGCATTCTCCTATCCATGAGCTCTTCTGACGGATATTCAACGCCCCTGCATTCAGCCCTTTGTTCGTATTGAAATCGGGTCCAGGTTCGAACAAGCGTTTTGAAATAAGCAAAAGCATCCATCGGGAGAGTCCTCCATCGTGCACAGTCCACCATGCCCGCGTCGCATGGAACTTTCGTTGAATCCTCTGTAGCTGCAACAATGTTTTTTTTATTCCTGCGTTTTCCCTCGAAGAGCACCTTCACATCGAGTTGGAATTTCTCATAGCGATTCGGGTTGCTCATATTGGAGACATTCCACACAAGCCGGTCCTGTCTCTCGCCGCAGCACTCTTAGCAAGGATCGGGCGCCGACTTCAGAATCGGGAGCGGAGTCTTCTCGATCGTACGGTCAATGCCCACCGATAGATCTTCGGAGGTGAAGGATTTCCGGATAATTCCCTCAAACGTGTCATCGACAGAATAGCGCCGATCCCTTTTATCGTCTCTCTAGAGTATTTCGCACAGGGAGCCGCTGATGAAGCTTCCAACCCGCAAACTCCCTTACGGGAAATCTTTCCCTTGGCTTTCTATGGGAAGTTAGCAAGAAGACTTCCGGGAACTCCCTTCGCTCTCTCCTTCGGCTTACTTCGGCCAGAGGCGCACGGCTCGGGGTGCCGGACTCCGGTCGGCAACTTTGAGAGGACTCTGTGCCCGAACTTTCGTCTGAGGCCCAAGGGTTCGGTTCTCGGTGCAAAATATAAGATTTCCCGTCACATTATCAGACGGAATGAAGTGCGACAAGTGAGTCGAAGACGAAGCACAGCGTAGTTGGACATCCAGAGTTCTCAGAGCATTTCCGTTATTTCCGCCGTGGCACCAACGGCACGGATCAGAGCCGTAGACCGCTCGGTGAACGACCGACCGAAAGACCGTCATCAGGAGCTTCGTTAGAGCGCTTGACTCCGAGTTACTGCTCCTGTTCCGCAATAGTGATCTCGTCTCTTTTGGCTCACTTCCTCATCAGCAGAACGAGTCAGTCGCGTAAGCCATCTTACCAGATGTCTCCCTCGTTCCCTGAGCGTGTTCCACTCCATGCGGGGAGCCTTCAGCCAATCAATATCCACATCGACGGCTACCTATCTATGTACTACTTGCTGCCATCTGTCAGCTGAGCTTGGCATTAGTCTAATGGATGTGTTTTTCTCCACGCTTCGAACTTCTTGGTGGTCTGACCTCGAGTTCGGGTTGTTCTAGAAATGTCAAAGCTCAATTCATCGTGACGCTTGCTTCCAGATCTGATTGAGCTGGCAGACCTCGTCAAAGACAAGAGAGTTCTCCTATACCAGTACCAAAAAGGAGAACGGGGATCCAAGAGGCTCATTCGAGAGATTGGGAGCGACCCACAGAACAACTACATCGTGCATCTGACGGCAGAGCGGGCGAATGAATTCTTCCGTCTGGTGAGTATATACATACACCACCGGAAAAAAAAAATGCGCCGTCTTGGATTCCGTGTCGATCATCCTCAATGGGTATTGCTATCCAGAATGACTTGACGATTTCCCGTAATGTCGAACCATTGCGACCCTTTCCCCCAGTCAGTCGTCTAGAACTGATGCGTTCAAGGGAGTGGAGTGCGCTCATGTTTTTCTCCCTCCGACATGTCGAACTATCAGTTTTCGACATCGATCGAATCGTGATTTTCACTAGTTTTCTGTTCTTCCTGCAGGCCGGAATCGTGGGATTGTTATCCGAGTACTTCAGCTATCTCGTCACCGCTGAGGTAAGCTTCCCGACTCGCCCCCACCAGGTCACCTCTGCCCGTCGATCGCTTTCCGATGCGATCCGTGGATTATACGTATTTGAAACGTTATCGTATACAACGTATCTCTTGTATCGTTGACGGCGACGTTGACGTCTCCTCGCGTCGACGGCAGCCGGCAACGAACATTCTGCAGCGAGCTCGGAGGCGAGGGCGCCGCCGTTTGGCAAACAGTTTTCGGGCCGAGCGCGCGCGTCGAGGTGGAAGTATGAGAGAGAGAGCTATAGAGAGACGGAGAGAGAGAGAGTGATCTTTCGACGGCGCCGGCGGCAGAAGCCTCATGGGACGTCAGAAACGGAAAAGAATGTTGCCGCGCCGTTGGTGGACCTCCAGATCCATAAGCGAAGTTTTCGTGTCGAATTCTCGTACAAGAGTTTTCCGCTCGCGTCTGAATGTTTAGACATATACATATACCTGGTCCCAATTTCGTGTTTTGTTCTGGAACAAAAGCCGCGTCGCGTCCTTCAGAAGTATCGTAAATTATCTTGATTGACCGAACGACCGACTACCATGTACAATAGGTTCGCTCGGTCATTGTTTCCCTCAATGTTTCCGTATGATCGTGTACATGGGGCTCCTCAATCTTGAAAAAGCAAGGATGGTCAGAAAGGGAAATCGAGACCGATGGAGGAGTAACAGACCTCCCGGGCGAGGATGATGAATATCTGCGCGCATCTCTCGATCCATTCCGATTGGGGTTATTTTTCTTTTGCTCCCGCTCTTGAATACAGGAATCCTCGCCGTGGATCCACCTCTCCCGGACGACGGGGACGGAGTAAACTCAGACTGCGAGTTCGACGTGAACGAGCTATCCACCCACCCAGAGAACATGACTTCATGTCTTACGCACATACATAAGTATGCTCCCCGATGTCTAGAATTCTGCATCCGATGGTGATCCGCAAGCATGAGCTTTCGTTGCGACCGGTTTCGAACGTCCGTCTGCCGTTCGGCTGGTCGTTCTGTCGAGCCCGCAGGCAACGTCGATCAGGCCGATACGGTCGGACGCACGGTGCAGCTCATGATATGCGATTCCCAGCGGGCTCACTGAGTCCTTGAAGCCAGTCACAGGCCCGATCCTATATCAGAACGGGGTGTGACACATATTAGCTGAAAGGTCGCGGGTCCAGTGGTAACACAGGCGGTAGCCACGGGAAAGCGACGACGCACATGGAGGCAGCTTGCCCGATCGCCGAACGGAGAGGGATCGGAGGTCGGCCAAACATTTAGACTCTGCTGGTCTTACATACCGACACTCAAATCCATCTTGATCCGCAAGGCAAACACGACTGAAGGCAGGCTGAGGAGCTGAGATAGCGAGACGAGCCGAGGCTTTAGCCGTACGTACGCACATACTAACTCGTTGCTTGCCTGCTTTCAAACGGTTTTTTTCTCATGCGGCTTTTTTGTCCGGTGACGTGAAGACCAGGGAAAAAATCCCATCTCTAGTCTTGTTGCCCCTGCCGGTGCTGCCTAGGAGACGAGATCGACTCCTCCGTGGGTCGACGTAGCCGAGCTCCTATCTCCTCTCTAGCTAGTATTCTCTTCTCTCGAGGCTGACGTTTCGTGTTATTCTCCGCTGGCCTTCTGTCCGCCCGGTGTTTACTCGTTTGTCGGTTGTATCGCTCGTTCTTATCTGCGAAGGAATAAGTATCCTTTGTCGAGTAGCTTCGCTTGTGGTCTGAGCGTGCTCGCCGGTGTCCGCGTCTCTCATTGAACGAACGACGGTCCGACGATCTTCGGTGAGGCCATAGTACCGCAATTCTGACCTCCTCTCGGCCAGCCGCGACGAAAATTTTCGATTCGTGAACGAATCTCCAGCGCCGGGCATCTTGGTCTTCGCTAGTCTCCCTAAGTCGCTACACGTCAGCAACCGGAGGTCATGCTCTTGTCGTGTTTTTTTTTCAGGACTTCCACACGTGGCAACTGCCCTCCGAGGCTCTCAGCAATATAACCGCCCTGCAGCTACTCCAACAAGAACCTGGCAACTTCGCACCGACTCAAGACAACAAGCGTCAACGGGTCAACAAAAACAGCCCTTTAAAGGTCAGTGCATCCGGAATGGCCTCGTGGGCTCATTTCATTTTTCTTTCCAGGAGGGGGCTTATTTTTAAGGTGAGGCTGTGCGCAGAGATAAATGAGAACTTTTTGGCGTCAGTCTCGCGTTGCGCGATGGGATCCCGTGCGATCTCCCCTCCCGATCCTCACAAGCTCGAGAGGGGAGAAGCAATAATTATTGTTTTGATCCGATCATGAACAGAAAAATGGGCGCCCACCTACGTACCTGCAGGACTCTGGCGACAGGATTATTCGGAATTGGAACTCCAGTGGGCCGAACGACCCCAGGGCCGTCGTTTGAAGGACTGGGTCATTCGCTTCAATCTCAAAAATTCAATCTCCAAGTATATCAAGAGCATCTCTTGACCCCGAGGCTTGCCCGGGATTCGGCCACGGACTCCCGTTCCAGAGGTCGCGTCCGTTCGACAAGGAAGGGCCGATCATTCAAAGTTCTCTGTTAGGGGTCGGTTTTGGTCTCACCATTTCCTGCTGTTGATCCTTTCTCCCGGTCGTGCAATCCGACCGTAGCTTCCGAACTCCTCGCGGTCGCAGAGACAAAAAAAACAAACGAGTTTTTTCTGCTGGCCGAAGAGTTCCTGCATCGCTCGTTCCGTCGCTCTGAATTTCCTCACGCTCCGGTCCATGCGCTCCAGTGCGATTGTCGCTGTTGGTGGTTATCCGAAATCGAAACTTCTCCGACAGCTTTTCGGCACAGCTTTGATTCTGTTCCGTTTTATTCGGAATCAACTCGAGCGGCAGGCGGGCGAACAGGAAAGGAACAAACACTCAACGATCTCGCCGTGCTCCTGACGCGGAAGGATTCGCCCGAAGAAACTTCGGCGTCGCGTCGTAATTATCTGACAGGCATTCGAAGAAGCCTTCTTCACGCGAGCCAATCTTTCCCTCCAAAACACTTTTGACTCGACCCATGCGCTCCGACAGCGTTTTCGGCGGCTGCGAACGGTCGGAGAGAATCCGTTTCGCATTCCCTTGAATTTTCTCCGAATCCTCCGCCCAAGACTCAACGGTACGCGACTCGCACGCGCCTCACCTGTAAACCTCGTTCGCGTGAGCGAGGAGTGTGGGGAGCACTCATTTACTGCTCCCCGCCGCGTCTTACGTATTATCCGCGTATCTTGAACGGCCCGAGGATGAAACAAGGCATCTTCCGGCGCATTGATTGTGTACGCCATCGCTCACGCAAAACGAATTAGTCGCTCTGGGGGTTCTTCAGGCTCGCTGAGATTCCCTGATTCCCCCATTCTCGAAGCACGCATTTATTGGAATGCGGTCCTCATGCGAACGCTCCGTATTCGACGGGGGTTCACAGCCCTGTCGGAATTCCGTGTTGGGCCATTCGGACCTGTGAACGGATTCAATCGCCGAATGGATGGGGAACAAATATGCAGAAGTCCCCATCGACATCATAACTGAGAGAATATTCGCACTATTTCCAGTACCACTCGGCGCTCCTACACGACTACATCATGATTTTCGCGCGAGCCGTCGGGACTCTATCACGGACACAAAACATGGCGCCCGTGTCGGACGCGAGTTGCCACAAGCCGTCGGACGGATGGCCCATGGGTCTGACAATCGCCACGCAGATCAAGGCCGTAAGTCAATCAGTTATTCGCGCTTGCCTTCCGCTAAAAGCAAGCAAGCCAGAGCGACCGAGGACCAGGAGGGCAGATGTAGCTGCTACGAGTGCATGCTCGGCGACTCCCCCTTCCCCCACCAACACAATACATATGGGCTCTCGGAAAGGACGGACCGAGGCAACACTTCTCTGCGACATAGAAATCTCTTTTTTCACTCACTCACTCGTCCGTCCGTTCTTTTCTTCCTCGAGACGTTCGTATTTTCGGCCTATTGGCGTCTTCCGAGTCGACGTCGGTCGTCGTGCTCTCTGCGATTGGGAGCGTTAGCCGATAGTTGGACGCAGGAACGATGCCGACTCAGATTCAGGCATCTGTCGTACGGCGGCCTTCGTGTGGGAAGAGTCGGATGTTGTCTGTTGTTGTGGCGGTCGAAGTCGAGACCGCTGGTGCATCAATGGGGGGGGGGAGGGCTCTTTTCCGACCGCTCCTCGCTGTCGGAGGATCGTTCGCCCGCTCGAAGATACACGATAGCACTTCATCTTAGTTAGAGACCAAGCTACTATAGGAACAGATGATATGCATGAAGGAGTTCGTCACTCCACAGGAAACCCTCCCGATTCAGAGCCGGGTCCGCCATTGTGTAGTAGAGATATTCACATCGTCGACGGCATCGGCACAGAGGATACGTTTCCCTGTTCGAGATCAGCCTCTTCCCGCGACTTTCCAGCTTGTCGTTCCTTACGCTGCCGGAGGCCTTCCGCCTTTCTAGGAGCGGTTTCTGACTTGGGACGAGCGACCGAATAATCGAACATTATCCGCTTACAGACGTCAATCCACGGCCTGTTCGGCCATATCCAATTCGATACGTTCGGAGAACGCTCCAACTACAGTCTCCTCGTAACGGAATACAAAGACGGCTCAATCGTCAAGGTGAATAAATCAGTCTAATGATGAAATGTGAGATGGGCGAACTCAATCCCGGAATGAATAAATTACCGGCTCACGTAACACTCGTAATTGAAGTTTGACGCGTGAATGAAGAACGAGGAGGAACGAGCACAGACAGCTTCCGGCCAGAGCGATCCCGGCTTCGAGGAACCTGTCGAGGGGGGCACCTAATTTACATGAATCAAAGATTTCCTCTCAGCCCTTCAAATATTTTTGGAGTTTGAACCAGTGTACGGCAATCGTTCTCCACTTCCTCGTTCGATCCACACGAATACCCGCCAAGAATAAATCTCCGGAGGAACATTCCGCTTGACCATTCGGGAGTCGAGTTGGACGCCTCCGCCGCCCACGCAGAGGTCTCTCCTCAGCGCTTCACATCGCATGGCGAGAACGGGCGGCGAGATTCTCGGAAACCGATACCTCTTACCGGCCCCCGCCAACGACCCGATTGCGTCGTACAGCTGTTTCAAGAGCCGATTATGTCTTATCAACAGCCAGAACAAGCTGGGCAGATTACGAGCCGCAGCCGACTTTTTCTCAAAGTGCTGTGCCGTAACCGTGAGAGCGCAGTATGAATGGGAGCTGCATAACGATGTCGTCGTCTTGTTTTCGACACTAATTATTCCAGGTGGGTAACTGGTCGCCTACATCGGGTATAAACTACAACCGAAATTCGTCGTGGGAAAAAGTCCACGTTGAGCAGTCGTTGCGGAACCGCTCGCTTCGCGTTGTGACGCTCTTGGTGAGTTCCGAAACGGAAGGAAGCATCCGGTTCGCCGGGTCGAATACGCGCTCGTCTGGCGAAACTCGACGTCTGGGGAGAGATCGTTGGGTATCAAAATGGATTTCATCGCGAGAAACAGTCGGGCTTATCGTCACTGATCCGCTTTTCGGTGAAGCCAGCACGTAGCGAATGACGAACACAGTGTACAGTTCACTACGAAAACGAGGAGAAAACAGCGACTCCGAGAAGTACCAGCTGCTGTCGTAATGGAAGTTATTCCTTACGTCAGTCGTCGGTTCGTTGGAACTTCTCGATTGCTCGTCCGGAGAACGGGTGGGCTGCCGGGATTATCAGAACTCTCAACTGCTCTCGAGACTCACCGAGTCCGCTCCGATTGCAGAGTGCCCCGTACGTGATGCGGCGTCGCAGTGGGTCTCCGCCGGCACCTGGCGGAACAGCAGCCGATGGCGAGCTCGAAGGCTTCTGCATCGACCTCCTCCACGAGCTCTCGCGCATGCTGCATTTTAAATATGAGATTCGTTTTGTAAACGATTCCCGGCACGGCGCTCGAGATCGTCACGGACACTGGGACGGTCTGATCAGGGACATCCTCGACATGGTGAGTTCCCGGAATAATCTTTCAGCTCGTCCAATTCCCTACGCATCGCATGGAACATTCACATCGCAGACGGCCTAGCGCCCCCTCTCTCCCCCTCCCCCAACCGCTCCCGGTCGGTCTCTCCCCGTCCCCCGCCTCGGCGTTCCTTCTCGTCCGTCCCTCCCCTTCCTTCGAAGAGGGGATTGTTTTTGATTCGAATCGCTTTTGGGTCGACGAATTAAAGGGACCGGAAGCTTGTTCTTGGCTGGGTGCGAACGTCTTCGAACGCGAATTGGCGCCCAGCAGCGGATTATAAGTGCGATGTAAGCTTCGTTGAGCGGCTCTTTTCCTTCTCCGTCTCCTTATGGTTTTTTTTTCGTCTTCGCTTTCCATATTAAGTAGGTTGGTTGGCTCGCGCAGCTTCGAAGAATGCGGCGAAGAGTATGATTGCCTTAGGGCCTTCGCTACGCTCCACCAAGAGTGCAGCTTGGTTAGCAGAAGCAGCAACGGGCTAGCCACCAAGACGGGCGGCCCTCTGGCTGATTTGCTGAGAAAAGCCTCTAACGAGCAGCTTTTCGACCGAGTCGACGACGACGACGCGTGCGGACGAGTGAACGAACTAGGGTCCGCTCGTCCGCTCCTCTCCCATACGCGCCCCCGATTCTGTTGGCTTGGCCTTGATGCTCACTAATCCTCGCTCGAACACTCATGTACATACGTACATATTTCCACTTTGCCGCCTAACGGGGGACGGAGCAGGCTTCGATCTCGCCGCAAACCATCCTACGGCAATGCGTATACGCGACCCCTGAGATGACTTCCGGCACGCGCATCTTCTCCATTTCTTCCCTTTATCCTGTCATTCCTCAATGAGATTTCGTTTAGAAAATAGCGAAGTGTTTATCGGTTCGATGCTTTCTCTCACTTCGCAGGAAGCTGACGTTGCCCTCGCAGATCTCACGGTGACATCGGACCGAGCTCGGGTTGTGTCGTTCACAACGCCTTTCATGGCTTCCAACATCGAAGTATTGTACAAACCCCCAAGTTCTGTCGGGGACTTGGCTTCGCTAGTTCGTGGAGTATTTTCGCCCTTGTCCCAAGAGGTAAGAGACAGAGAAGCTTGTCAACGCGGCCACGCGATCGTTGCCGCTGTCGTCGTAAATTCGGCCATCGACGTCGAACCTGGGAGGAAATTCGAAAACCTGATCACATCAATCAAAAGGGATCAGAATAGTTCGAGGAGTAATTTTTCCCTCTCTCCAGAACTCCCCGCATCGGAGACACAATTTCCCCAGGGAATTGAGTCGACTTTATGTTTTCGGGAACTCGAGCTCGTTGGAGTCTGAAACGTAAAAAAAGCGACTCCGCAAAGCGAGTATTGATGCGCGATACTTAAATCCTCATTATCGTCTCCTTTCCTGATATAAGATCTCTATGGGGAGCGAGCTCTTATCAGCTCGCAAATATCAGAGCAAGCATTTAAGACGGATCTCATGATCCTTCTCTCTCTGCCTTTCTCCCTGTCATGTACATCTGGCGATCGGGAACGCAGAACGTTTAATCCTCGGTCTTGAAGTTTAATCTCCTGTGGCTCTCTGTTGTGGGTAGTTTGTGCGACCGACTGAGCGTGATCTAGTGGACTCGGTGAGCATTTGCAGCGACCGCAAATTATACTACTCACTGCGATGCAATGAGCTCTGCCCGCTATTAGAGTGTTGAGCCTGGTCAAACAAAAAGGTGTATAATGGATAGCGACCGACACGCAACTACTCAAGAGATCCGGTGTAGCCAACAGGAGATCAGGGGACATCCTGTTTCCTCTCGGATGTGTTCCCCGGAAGACCTGTTTGCCACCGAGGAGGTGAACCGGGCAAACATGGGAAAAGGAGCTGGGGAAGCAATATGGAAGAGGGAACAACGGAACAGGAACCGGGGAAGGAAATTCTTCCAGGTCGACGCCGATGGAAGGAACTTCGGAAGAGAGGTCGGAAAAATTTGCTAGCACCTGTGAGACCTCGGTCCGCAACACACTTTCGCTCGTCGTAAGCTCTTACGGTCAGAATGTTACTAGTTCACTTCTGAGGGCTGGTAGACCGTGAAGGTATCAGCCGGCAACACGGAGCATGCCGAGAGGCAGAAAATCGTCTATTCGCTCCCCGGTGCACGTACGCTCGAGAACAGAAGGAGAATCATCTCACCCGGGAATGCTCGTAGGAGACCTCCATCGTAAAGCGCGCCTTCCTTTACGACACTCTGCCGCGCCCTGTACGAAACTAGTCCTACTCCGGGAGAGAGGAGTTTCCTGTCTCGTATCGAAACGGCAAAGATGAATAACACCCTTCCCTCCTCGTTCTCATCGTGCACACATGTAGCCTTGTCTCGTCGACAACTGAGGTGATTCCGGGCCGTGTTGCAGATGCCTCCGGATCTGTCGAGAGAATTTCCTTTTCGTTCCCCATATGAGCCAGTCTTCCCCCGCGCCTCCGTCGTGCTCGTTGGCCGTCGGTCCGTCCGTCCGTCTCTTCATCGTCTCGTTCAGCTCGCCGAATTTTTTCTGAGAACGGGACGGCGGACCGACCGACCAGCCAGCCAGCCATCCATCGGATACGTCGTGTGATGGGAGAGAGCCCGACGAGTTCCGTCACAGCTGCGGACCTCGTCTGGTATTCAAAACACTCTCTGGCAGTAAAGTTTTATTCGTTCTTCTGTCTCGTTCGTTTCGGCGTTTCCAGAATCCGATTTTGATGCGGATATTCAATTGTCGGTGACGTCGTCGTTCTGCTTCCAGGTATGGATTTCGGGTGTCTTGTGTCTGGTGGTCGCCACCTTTGTGCTATTCTATGCATCGAAACTCAGCCCCCGCGACCGTATCGTGAAACTGTCTCCGAAGCAGGCAGACGAGAGAATTTGGTCAACACCGAGATTTTCGTTCGGAGACATCGTCCACATAGCGCTCTCTTGCGCTCTTCGGTGAGTTCCCGAAATCCCTCAACTTGACAGGTTTTCAGCAAGCATCGATGACACGATTGCGTCTATCGCGACCGTGTTCTTCCGTGTCCTACAATCTCGAGTCCATAAGTGGTGCCCGCGTCGTCTATGCATCGTTAGCTTGGATTGCAATGAATATTCCTCCTCTCCGGAAGCCGTTCCTAGTCACGTGCGACCTCCGTATAATTTGCAAGCGTATCTCCTCGCGTTCGAGGCGCTATTCGAGTGTGACGCGAAGCTGTGTGAGTTCGAACGTGTTACGGAGGAGATCTCAGGGCAAGGTTTGGAAGCCCTTATAATGAACTGGTCGCCGAGTTTTTCCACCGCTGCCGTCCTGCTTCTCTATCTCGAGCCCCGTTATTCATCGACGCGCTGAGTTCTCACACGAGAGATCGTAGATCACGGATGGGACAGGCAGAAGGCCCTCACCCGTCTGGCCAGCAGCAAGAATAGAGCCTTGAGGAGGATCGGCTGCAGCGCGGAAAAAAGCAGTCACTCGTCTGCTTTTACTGCACTTAAAAAGTCAGTGCATCAGTGAGGAACGAGCCGAACCTGAAGGAGCGAGGCCTAGCGCCCCGGTCGACTTTCGCCAAGAGGCATGGAGCAACCAGGCCTTAGGGGATGACGTTCTGGGAAGTTTTCCTGTCCGTCGGCCTCCCTCGGCCGATCTCTCTGCAGTCAACCGTCCAAGCGAGCGAGTGGCGCACAGACGGGCTTCGGGACAGACAAAGTGTGGGAAGACCGAGGACATCAGTCATCGGCGAGGTTTCATCTTTCGAATGAGTCGCTCGGCCTTGCGAGATACTCAGAACTTCCAGTGGTTTCCCGCGCCCACTCGGGATTGAGGTCAGCAAATGATTCGGATCGAGGGAGGAATCCGATTCGTGCCTTCCATGGTTCCAACTCGATGCTTCATTTCTGATTTCACTGAAGCTTGAGGGGTCCAAATTTTTCATTCCTTATTTTCCGGGGAATTTTTTTTTTACTCCATGAGGGAATTTCCGGAGGGGAATGAGCCTCCGAGTCCGGTAGAATAGGAGTTCCGAGCTGATAAACTCATCAACGAGTCGGCGATTGTGTATTGATTTGCCGAGGGGAGTAACAGGCATGTTCTCTCTGCAGACAGCCACTGATAAGCCGCCGACCGAGAGGCGTGGCCACACGAATACTCATTCTTGTGTTGTACGTGGCATCGTTCGTATTCTGGTCGGTGTACACAGCACGACTGACAGCTCAATTCGTCCAGCGGCGAATGCATTTCTCCGAGCTGCAGGACGTCGGGGACCTCCTCCGGCTGAAGGATGTGCATTTCGGTTATGTCGCCAACACCTCGTCCCAGCTGTATCTGCAGGTGAGTCCGCGCCTTCCTGAACTCGTTAGGCTCCGATCACTTGTTCGTATATGGATTATCGATCAATCAATCCCTAAGGAGTTTCCAGCGAAATAATATTCCCCTGCTAAGCCATCTGCATGAGATTTTTGTGATGTCGGTCGGTCAAGTTCCCCGGGGAAAAAACGCTGGAATGAAATCCCGTCTCCGAGGGAAAAATAGAAAACCAGGTCTACAAAAACCCGGGCTCCGGGTCTCCCATCCACTTAGCTCTCTAGAGCTCTTCCGGCAAAAGCCGTCGGCCGCCGTCTGCAAAGACTGGACGTAGGCGGATTTGCTCTAGCGCGACTTTCGTCAACCAGACAGCAGGCTAAAAACAGACGGGGGATTTAGAATCGAGTTCGTCGCCTCCGGCGCAACAAAAGCTTCCCGCTTACCGGAACGATGTAATAGAAAGTTGCGAACCCCCATCGAGGCGCTGTGAGGAGACGAAAACTTTGTATGGCGTTCGTCGTTCCATCCTTATTAACCTGCAGTAGCTGTTGGGCCTCTTTCAACTTTTTGAGCATTGCCCCCCTGGATGCTCTCCCTGATCCATGTCTCGTTCGAATCTGCTCACATTGCGGCATCGTTTGCTGCCTTTCCATGACATTTCCCCATTTTCCCTCCCCACTCCCATGCGGACCCTTCCGTCATGCTCGCCTACCCCTCTGATTTCGTTCCTCGTTATGGGACATGGGATTTGAGATTGTCTTTCTCCGTGTTCCGAGACTGGTCGAAGGACGCCCCCCCCCATAGATCCCCCAGCAAACGTCACATAAGTGGTCAACTTCCGTAGCCCACCATGGAAATTTTCTTGGGCGTTCCAAAAACTGGTACTTTTACCCTACATCCTATCCTTTACCCGTACCCTCGTTTCCCTCCTCTAACGTCCACGAGCCGATCTCCTCGGTAACCGTGACGTTGCTATTGCAGGGTGCTGACTATGACCCGATTTCGACAGTCTGGGCGATCATGACTGGCGAGGGGGATCATCCCACGAGTTCCGCTGAAGGCCTCCGCAAAGTCCACGCAGGCGGCTATGCATTTTTCCTGGAATCCCCAACTGCGGAATACCATCAGCGAAGAGATTGTTCATTACTCAAGATACACAGCGGGATCGAAACTTCAGGCTACGCGATTGCGACTCCGAGAGGTGAGTTCTCCCCAGTCGAGCACTCAATTCATAGGCCCTCGAAGACTCTCTTCGCTGTAACGATTCCCCGAGCGAGAATAATTTCAATCTGAGGCGACTTCGCCCGAGACGGCAGAATCGTTAAGAAGGCGTCTCCGTCTGCGATCAGATGTCTCAGCTCTGGATAAGGAACGGTGTTCCTCCTGTTCCCTCCCTGAGCCGGATGTGGCGACTGCCCGATTGGTGATTCTGGAAAATGTTTTTTCATTCAGGCCTGCTGCGGCTCTTCTGGAATAAGTTCATCCCCGAAGTGCCCAGCCCATCCCATCCCGTTTATCATTTGTCCCCTCCTGCCTCTCTCTTCACATTGTGTTCCAGAATGTTGTTTGATTGTATTCTCCCCGATGTGGTCTCCTCGGTAAATCTCCGCCCCTGCGACACGACGCAGCTGTCACGAGGGCGAATGAACGTTTTCTGGACCAGTGTTGCTGCATTCGTTATATGTATCTTTGTAATGCAAGTTGAGATGCCCGCTGTCACTCGACAGGAGCAGCTGGAAGATCCGCTGAACTCTAAGCGGCGGCTGGGGAAGTGGAACGGGGGGCGGGCGCGGGCAGTCGAGCTCACGAGAAAGCGCAAGCTGGTCAAGAAGGGCCGGCCGAGCAAGGTCGACTTAGCAGCAAACGGTGCTAGAAAACTTGTCGGAACACAACGCTCTCGTTGACCGAGTTCGCTGGTGACCGGCGGAATAACAAGACGACCGAGTGGTTTTCTGTTCTACAGAGACCCGCTCAGCTCGAGAGAGTGAGCCTTAACGGGAGAACAGATAACTCTGAAACCGGAAACCTCGATGGCCTCTCGGGCCCGCTCGACCAGCCGGCGTTCACTCGAGCGTCGGTCCACTGATAATGTCGCCGCTGTTGATCTCTTGATTCTCGAAGTCTCCGTAGAAGTCCTTCTTCTCGTACCCGATAGCCACACGCGGAGCGAACCGCTCATCCATTCGTGCTTTCTCTCTCTCCCTCTTTCTTCCTGAAGGCTCTCGGCTCCGGTGAAACCGTTCCCCACCTATTTTTTCGCCAGACGTTTCGGTGCAGAGAAGATTCTACCGCAACAGCCGTTTCCTTTGAAGTCCAACCAATTTTTTCCCAGGCTCTCCAGGAGGTCTCGCATCAGGAACGCATCCCTGCGGGCTGATCCCCGAGTTTTTCCCTTGGGTTTCCTCGCGGCTTTCTCTCTCCTTCTCCTTCCCTCTAGGAACCTAATGGAGTTTCCTCCTTCAAGGTCATCCTGGGTACTTCTGAATTCGAATCCTGACCGACCGACTGACCGATTCGTAGACGAACAGAGTGTGAAAGTTGAAGAATTTCGAAAATCGGGTGAAAAGCGACTGATGTGAGATGAATTTCCCTTTTCAGCTTCGCCGTACACAGAACATTTCTCGAGCGCCTTGATGCGCCTCAAAGAGAATGAAGTTATCCACCGACTCCAGCACAAATGGTTCTCATCAAGAGCCGAGTGCAAGGCGCCGCCTTGGGGTCAACTAGATGTCACGGGCGTTTCGCCCGTCCTCCTTCTTCTGGGCGCTGCTTGCGCCCTTGCTACTGTGATCGGTGTGGTGGAGTGCGCGTGTTCCGCAGCACGCCGCCAGCCCAAGAAAGCAAAAGCGGTGAGTTGGTCAAGTCACGCACCGGGTCTCCGAGGGCAAGCACGGCGCGGCAAAAGACATGCTCTTCTTCCCGCTAGCTAACCCTTCTCTCCTGACTTTCCGCCTTCTGCCCCCCTTCTCCTCCCCTACGTCCCACTTCTCGCCTTCCTAGCCCTCGTTCCGCTTGCCAAACAGCAGGCGGTGGTGGTCGACCCGCAAAGCCTCCCACGTAATAGCAGCTCGTTCCGGGTGTCTTAAGACCTTGTTCGAGTCTGCAAGGGTCATTAATGCGCGTGCCCGTGTCACTGTTGTTGTTAAAAGATCAGGTTCAAGTGTGACGAATCCGAAGCGAGTGCGGTGTGTTACGCGCTACGTGACCCGTTTCGAGTCGATAGCTCCTCTCGATAAGTCGGAGGACGCCCGGCTCGATCCTGTTCGAATTCTGCGATTTCGCATCACGTCCTCGCAATGAGAGCCGCGGGGGCACCCAATATTTACAGATTCGTTTTTCGCTCGAATTCTCCTTCGAAGATTCTTCATTTCTCGTCTCCCACCGCAGGTGTCGTCCGAGCCAAAACCGCCGCCGGATGTCCCGGACAACAACCAATTGGTTTCAGCCGTAACCGCATTGCTATCACCGGCTCAATCGTCGGCTGAGGAGCACTTACGTAGTCATTGCAAGACCTTGGATCTTCACACTCTGCCCTCGATGCCGAACATCTTACCTCCGGCAGACCTCTACATGAATTACGATAATTCCTAGCATACGGTGAGCGCGCCATTGGCCCTTCCGGGCGCGATGGCGCATACTTTGCCCCGAGGACTCCTGGGTCGGTCCAGTATCAAAGAGCCCGCCGATCGTTTCCCACCTTCCCCCTCGACGGGTGCGGACAAACCGCTGATGCTCAAGACATTCATGTGAACGGCGACCAGGACATTCTGGTTGTTGAGAGGAAGCTGTTTCGGTTGGAAATCTTGTTGAATATTTAGGTCCCTGAGAACAAGTGAAACTAGACAGGGGAAGCCTCTCCTATGAGAGAGCTTCCAGGCCAAAGGATTCATGGAAATTATCGACTCAATGAGCAGGGTCCGATATCGCCGAGCAGGAATGTATCGGTGGATGCGCTCAGTGCCCCGATCAGAACACTCGGTCGTCTGAAGCTGTTCGAGCCAATTGAGTGTGTTCCAAGCCAAGGTTTTACTGCAGTGCTCCTCTGCGGCCTTTGTATCCCTCTCTAGATAGTACCGGGAACCTTGCTTCCGTGAGCGTGGGAAATTCCAAAATTCAGGCGTGTGTATGGAACTCCCTGCTAACCGCGCAGTTCAAGACGCTCTAGATGGGAACGGACCCGAAATTATGTACAGAGAAATTTGATGGACCCCGATGTGATGACTCTCGAATAATTCGAAGTACGCCCGAGATTTCACCGTGATGGCGAAGAAGAGAGACTTCTTGTTGAGATGACCCTAAACGAACTCGATCATCTCTTCTTGACAGCCACAAGCGTCAGAGAGCTTCACTTCGATTCGGACCCCATTCTTCACTTCGACCGATTCCACTCTTCAGAGGTTTTATTACTCATGAGCTCGAACGCTGGAAAAACGGGGGGCGACCGGAGAAATACTTCCGGAAGTCGAAGTATCTTTTTTTAATCGATTTTTCTCAGAAGGGATAGTGCGGCAGGAAATTCCGGCACTGTGATGGGACAGCCATTTGTTTTATTCCAACGTGAGTCGTTTTATGTCTGAAATCTTTTACCTGAGAAATTTGCAGCACCAGAACCTTTTTTCAAGACTCTCTTTCAATCAGGGCTCCACAGAGACGACGCCGACGAGGCAGTGAACCAAACGAGCGAGCTCCGTTGACGCCTCAATTTCCGCTTGGAGCGAGTAGAGAATTTCTCACGCTCACGGTACCGGGGTCGGAATTCCGTTGGATTAGATGCGTAGTTATCCAGCTAGTGTTTCATATCACATGTATATATGTACTTGTAAGATAGAGGCGACAGGAACGAAAAGACCTGCCGCTTTCGGAACGAGGTCCAGACTCTTCGGGAGAGTTCATGAATCGAATGTTATTCCGCCCGATCCCAAATCGGGGTCGGTCTTCGTCGTGAGACAGCAGAAAGACAAACATCTGATGAGATGGTGTGAGATAATTTCGAGAATGAAAGAATGAAATAAATATAATTTGACAATATACTCGCGCCTTTTCTCTCTGGCAATGAGCGCGGCATGGCCTAACCTCGAGTTTCGGGATCTTCGTCGGCTCTCGGATCTTGCCTTTGTCGGATAGAAGAAGCTGGGGGCAGGCTCCCTCGCGATCTAGCGGTGTCTGACCCCGTCGGGACCCGAGCGTCATTCCTAAGGGAACAGAATTGAGCGCCGAAAGCCGCTCTGAACTCAAGGACTTCGTCATTCTCTGAGGTCCACCAAAGATTGAGTCTCAATGAGCTCATGTTCACGATCGCGAACGGAGGGAAAAATAAAAGATAGCGAGTGGAGAACAAGGAAGTACGACCAGCATACGTATCGAGAGAAAAAGAAGGTCTGAAAATGGCTTTCTGCGACAAGCGGGCGGGCGGGCGTGCAGGGCAGACGGGTGAGCGAGCAGCCGAACACCAGCCAGCGAATACGAACGAACAGGAAGGAAAGGACCCAGCGAGTACAAATTGTTGTCGAAGGAGCCCTCGTCGACCTCTGAGAAAATCGTTCTGAGCTCCGAACGAAAGAACGATTCGTTGTGCAGCTGCGTTTTTCCTCCTGCGAGCGTTTCCTCGGCACCCCGTGTTCTTCGGTTGCGCACTAGCCCACTTTGACTGTCCGCTGGTATCGTTCGCTAGTCGTGGACTGATGAATCCGGGAAGTCAGTTGGACTATCACCAGTTATTCTGTTATACATAATACATATATATGGGTAGCTCGGTGGAAAGTTGAGCCGATGGAGTGAATGAATGATTAATTCGCTTAAGCTGAGGGTAAGCTCGAGCCCGAAAATGTTCCTCCGCAGAATTTGCGGCTCTCCCTTCGCGTGTTGCGGTATTCGAGGCGTTGACAACAAATAATGCAAAGTTCACCGTGAGCGGACCTCTTAGAACGAACAATTGGTGCTGCTAGAGTGAGCCTGCTATCTGGTTCCTCCACGGATCCGGGATTGAGCACGACTGCGCCTCACGGTTGCAGGTTTTGGAAAGTCTCGCATAACACAATTTTCCCGATTCTCCTCGTCGCTGATTGATGACACGGTTTGCTCTCTGGGTCCCATGTCCGAGCGATTCCTCAGCTTCGGCTCCTCCGCAGACGTGGGAAGCAATGAAACAGGGAAAATCAGAGGGTTCGATCTTCCCTTTCTGTGGTAGATATTCCGTCCTGGAGCTTGGTTTGGCGATCGCGCTCTGCAGTCGATCAGTTTTTTCTTTCTCGTTGTATTCGTTCTTATCTTTCGCAGAAAGCTCTTTGCAGCAACCGATTTTCCGCTATCGCTTCTCCCGCTACCGTTTCAACTTGAATCTCTCAGCTCGCGGCGAACACGTGGCTTCCGCAGTTGGCGGAGAATTCTTCTACGGGGCCTCCTGACTAAGTCGGGACTCGCATCTTTCCGAAACTATGTTGCACCTCGCATTCTCCGCTCCATGCGCCGCGCCGTAGAGCCACACGGTGAACGCGACCGGCGGCGGATACGAGTTCTATGAGCCAGGCGTTCCCTCCGCGAGATGTCACTGAGCACGGGAGGTATTTCCCGAAACCGCAGCGAGGTAGCAGGGCGCTTCGAGTTCAATGGAAACTGGGACGCAATAAAGTTCCGCCGAAAATAGATTGAGTCACATCGATTCTCGAAAGCGCCGGACGACCCGAAATCTCGAGGACCGAGCGCCGAGTGATTAATGGGACGATATGAGTGAGAGATGTAAGAAGTGGAGAGAGGAACAGTTGTTGGGACAACTGTCGATTTTCTATTTGCCGCCAAGGGAGTTCCGTTACTATTCGGTAAATGACAATAGCAGAGGTCCCAGATAAGATTGGGACAACTTATTGAGAATGGCAGTTGCCAATGCCGTCGACGAATGGAAAAAGGAGAAATCGCCGAGTGGAATCCGCTCTCCCTGGAGCCTGCTTTCGGTAGAGGAACGACTTCGATAGCGCCGGAGATGAATTCGCCCTCGATGATGGCTCAGTCAGACCGTCGGCCTTCCCAGCTCCATCGTACCGAAGGAGCGACTTGGTGGGAGGAAGCGTGAGCGAGGGACGGACTCGCGTGCGGACGACGGAATAGGAAATGCAGAGAGAAAGAGTCAAGGGCGGAAAAAATTCAGAAAGAAAATCCATTGGCAGGGTCCTGTTCCGCCGGCGACGGCTGCCGCGGCCGTCGTTTAACGAGTGAATATCAAATGAATGGGATCTGGTCATTCCGTAAAAAAACGCGCGCTGAGGGTTTTCGCTCCGGACGACTCCCATCTGTTCCGTCTGGACTCGGCCGTGGGAACGGAATGGAGAGTCCCTCAAAAAGCATCCGTTAGAACAAGGTCGCCGACGATTCTAGGATCAGACGAGAGAACGAACAACGGATACAGACGAGGACGGAATTCAGCTCCCCTGAACCATCGGATGGGGAAGCGCAGGGCTCCGTGCGAAGCCAAGGCCTCATATGACACGACGTAGGCCTCGCGTACTCGAGATTGAGGAGCGCATCTCTTCGCACGGTTTTCGAATTCCGCTTCTCTGAAAGATGAATTCCCAATCGTGAGCTCCGTCTCAAATTGCGCCCTCCCTGACCAATGCGCGAGCAGTCGGAGCAACGCTCATCGTGATTCACGGATTTGAACATGAATCTGCTGGAGTATGGCTTCTATGGCCAAGGACGCTAATCACCGCCGTCCGCCGATGAGAACGCAGCTCGCTCCTGGGGTTCCCACGGGAAGAGGTTTCGGGCTTAGCCTCAGCCGGAGATCAGCCCCGAGGACCCCTGCCGGAGACCCCTGCCGGAGACCCCTGCCGGAGACCCCTGCCGGAGACCCCTGCCGAAGACCCTCGCCCGCGGAGCTTCCCCCGATCATCGGGGTTTTACCCCGGATCAACGAGGGACGCATCGGATACCCGGTCGGCCTCGGGAGTCTCGAAAGCGAAGCCGCGTTCTTATCGATCTCATTGATGCTCGGGGATCAATCCCGAAGCCACAGGATGAACCAGATTTTCCCCTTGGTAAGTCTTTTCAGCCGGAGGTCGCGCGGGTTTCGCGAGCTGTGAATAGATTCTCTATGAAAAATACTATTATCTGTCCTCCATGAGCGGAGCTCGATACTCATGGATTAAACTTGAGCCACGGGCGCGACAGGTCGGGAGGGTGACTCGAAAGAGTTGGCCTCGGACAAAGGAGGAGCTCCCGAGCGCTCCAAAATAATGAAGACAACCAGTACCTCAGGTATGAATCTCGGGCTTCCAAAGAGTCAAGCGCGAAAAAAAATAGCAGAACCCACTACGAACGTGGACGGCATCGAAAGTACAGCGAGATGAATCAGCGGACCATGATGACCTGTTGGAAAAAAAACGGGAAATGCTGCGAGCCGATGCTCGACGCTCGGATCAGCGAGAGCGAGGACGACAACATTAACACCTGGGGCAGCCGAGACCACGCCGACGAAGCTCCTCGCACCGAGATTGCACCGAAGCGCTTTTTGTTCATTAAAATAAATTGTTCCCGCCTGGCGTTCTCCATCCCGTTTCCAGACCCTCACATCCAGTCAGGACGGACGCAGTGGGTCCATT